GTTTTATTAAAAAATATTAATTAGAAGTCGAGATATGATGAAAAAACGATTTTCGGGGGTGAATTTCAGGGGTCGTTTTCACCCCTTTAAAGTGGATGTCAGCACGAAAAAAAAAATACGTGTCTCTTATTTTGTCGAGTACTACAACATATCAAAAAATTATTGAAATCGGTGGGGTCGGGTTGGGGGGGTTTCCTTGTAAGTACAGCGGAAACATTGCTAAGAAGGTAAACGCATTTTATTGGTCGAATGCCCCAAATCCATTTCTCAGCCAATCACAGCATTTAGTGCTCACAGTGCAGCGGAGGTATGATTATTCATACCTCGTGCATTAATTGATGACCACCAAATGTTTTAATTAGACTACCAATCATCGGCTAGCGTTCTCGCATTGATTAATTCTTTCGAAGAGAGAATCTGTTCAGAAATATCTGTTTTATCGACCGTAAATGTATATTCCTACACCCATATCCAGTCAATGCTGGACACTGCAATCGTTTTTTTAATTTTATACGAAAACTAACGACCACCAAACATTTTAATTATGATATTCGTTACCACCAAACGATTACGAATCGATTAAGCACCTGAAAAACTTAATTCGTTGAAAAAAAAAAATTTCGGCTAACTTCACGGTCAAATTTTGATTATTTGATTATAAAAGAATGACTGACCACCAAATGTTTTTATTAGGCCACCAATGGCCGCCAAACGACCACCAATCGATTTGGTATGATAAAAAGTTAAAAAGTTAAAAATGCCCGGCTAACTTCACTGAGGTCCGTCTCTGGCCGTGGTAGCCATATGACACATGTAATTTGTCCACATGTTGTTGCATGTAATTTTGTCCACAGTCTAGTCTCCATGGTCCACAGCATGAACTAGAAACTTTAAAAAAATGGTTTCTAATAAAAATATGATTAGTATATCATAGAATATGTAGAAGAAAGTTTCCAGGAAACAAAATTTTTTAAATCTTTAAGGAACCCTTTTCTAATACATCATGTTCTGAAATGAAGTGCCGTAGCACATTTTACTGCGACCGTTAAAGTAGTGCGTGTACAAATTTATGAAATCAAATATATGCTCACTTTATTTACAGATGTGAATTAATAATAAAGCTTAAACATTTATTTCAATTATTTTGACAGACTGGCAATAAGAACACTCTTCTATCCAGTAGTTTAGTAAATAGGGTTATGCCCTCAGAACCGGTGTAAACAAATGCACGTTGCCTGTCAACGAGTTGTATTTTACTGTGTTGACTGTGTTCAGTGATTGTGTTGTAATATCTTGTTTTTATAGTGCTATTAATATAAACAAGAAGAAGAGAAAGAAGACTTTTTTGTGTGCATGGTGATCTGTGATAGTGATTGTTTAGAGTGTATGTACTCTAAGATAGAAGAGAGAAGAAGAGGGAAAAGAAGAAAATCATCCCACAATGGCTCAGCTTTTGTGTGAGCCGATGAAACGAGCCATCGCATCCGCAGTAACGAATCTGCGGATAGCTATATCCACTGGAGCTGCTGTCATCGAAGACCAACCTCTGGAATTTATAGCTAAACTGTTTCGCTTACACGTCAACACAGTAAGGCAATATTCCACCTATCTTTCTGCAGAGCCATCTGCGAACAAGGTAAAAAGGGGACAACGGGCGGTTCCTAATGTATCACTATCCACTGTTGATACTTCAACTAGGATGGAAATACGGAATATTTTATATGACATGCGCCGCAAGGGATGTCATATAACACTGGCGACTCTGCTCAAAGAAATCCGAACTCGTGGTACAACTTTTGAGGGAGGAAGATCCAGCCTACATAAGCTTGTGCGCGAGCTTGGATTTCGATACCAACTGGATGATGGTCGAAGAGTATTGAAGATGAATGCTGATGTCATCCAAAAGAAGAGGAACTTCAAAAGGGAGTATATGGCCGATGAAAACTCATTGTCGCCATCACAAGTTGTGTTTTGAGATGAGACATGGATCTTCCAGAAAGGTTCATGCTCTAAGGCATGGGTCGATGACCAAGCAGCTTCCTCTGTGCATAAGAGCACTACACAGGGGAAACGCTTCATCATCCTTCATACAGGCACTAGTTTTGGGTTTGTGAACAATACAGATTTGTTATTTGTTGCAGGTTCAAACACAGGCGATTACCACGAGCAAATGAACGCTCATAATTTTGAGAAGTGGTTGATGGAGCAGCTGCTTCCAAATTTGGGCGAGCCCTCCATTGTGGCACTGGATAATGCACCGTACCACAGTGCTGTTGCAGAAAAACAGCCTGCAACGTCGTGGAAAGAACACGAATATCAGGATTTTCTTGAAAAACGAAACGTGCCTATTCCTCCGAATGCGACACGAGCCGTTCTGCGGCAGCTAGCAGTTACACAGAGAGAGAGAAAAAAAGGTGTGCATGCAACGTATAAATATTATTTTTCAGTGTCATGGTTTATCGTCCTGGGTTTCCAATCTCCAAACTGTTCCCATATCCTGACTGTCCTCTATTAATTAATAGGTTCAGGGTAGACGAACTGATATGGGCTTCTGGGCACCAGGTAATCCGCTTACCGCCCTATCATTGTGAATTTAATGCTATCGAATTGGTATGGGGTCTGGCTAAATGGTACACATCTATCCTTTTACTCTGTGGAAAACAACGCTACACTAATCTGCTTATTGCGACCCTATCTTACACTGCCTCTTCTCCTGCTCCTGCTTCAAACTACCTGCGCTAAAACGAGTAGCCGATTGCTATATCTATAATACCTGCTGCAATAGCCCTTCACACTCCTATAACTCATTCACAGATATTACACCAGCGTGTTACCAGAACGACAATTTTTTAATGAAGCAACAGTCAGACAGACTTGGGAAGAAGCCCTTGCAACAGTGACCCCCCAATGGTTTAATCATGATTTATAATTGATACTACTGGTCTTGAACATCCATTTATAACGCAAACAACGACTTTCAGCTTATTGTAAACGTTTACAATGGATTTTCATTAACTTTTTAATTTCAGACAGCAGTTATGAAATATTGGCTTATCCAATGCATTTCGCAGACAAAGGTATTAAGATGATATGATTGCAGTATTTAAAATCCCCCAAAAAACACTTACGTGTAAAAAAACTACGCCAAGTACAGGAGTGCTGTGTATTCCTCTAATAAAAAGTATTGATATCAGATTATTGAGGCCAAGTACATAAGTCACTACATATCTTCCTATTATATGATCTAGCACTGGCCCAAGTAGACCCGCCAACTAGTACTCGATATGGAATCACCTAAAGTTTTATTAATTATTAAATGACCATCAAATCATAATCAACTACGGCAAGCAGTAGTAATGTAAAAGAGTAGTGAAAACGTTATAAGAAATTTTGAAAATACAATTAAAATGATGGGCCAGTGCTAGATCATATAATAGGAAAATATGTAGTGACTTATGTACTTGGCCTCAATAATCTGATATTAATACTTTTTATTAAAGGAATACACAGTACTCCTGTACTTGGCGTAGTTTTTTACACGTAAGTGTTTTTTGGGGGATATCACAAGTTTTTGTTGCTCAACGAGACATAGAAGCTCTAAGCACTGAAATCTATATTGTCTCAAATATAAAATGTAAATGCATTATGATGTTGCTGATCAGAAAATATATTGTGTTGTCGAAAATGTTTAATGGCATATAAATTTAATTTGTAAGTCCCTTTTTCTAGGAATGCATAAAGACATATACACATTTTTAAAGAAGTTGAACTTCCACATCCGATACCTAGATATAGAAAACTACGGAGCGGAATACCTGGACACCCTAGACTTCCACTTCCAACACCTGGACACAAGAAACTACGGAGCGGAACATCTGGACACCCTGGATTTCTACGTCCGACACCTGACACAGAAAACTACGGAACGGAACACCTGGACAAACTGTCACCTAAAATACGAGAAACTATGCCGAAGCACACATATGCATACACCAACTGGCATAATTTATATCAAGAAATGCACGGACCCGCCAAGCAGTACTCGATAAGGAATTATCTACAGTTTTATTAATCTACGCGCGCTCCACATGAATGCTATTAAAAACTGAATAATTCTATACTGTTGTGAAAGCACCCTTATATTAACTGGAAATCCGGTATGAATGGTAAATTCACGTATAAAGTGTATTTAATTGTGTTGTGTATTCGTAAATTACTAACACCATACAGAATACAAATAGGTAAAGAAGGTAAAGCAGTCAGCGCCATCTGTTGTGTAAAAAATGCGATGACGTGCGAAGACGACGCCGACGACGACGACGACGACGGAACTGAAATAAAATCATCTCGCTCGCCATCTCAATACGCCCTGATCTCGTATACTAATCGTATTAAACGTGGTGGCAATCAATTCAGGACCCTCAATTCCTATAGTGAATGTATCAATAACTTTTTCTCATGTATAGCGGTCAATAAGATATTTCGTTCCAAACACAGGTATAAGAGTTGACTCAAGTAAAGAGTCTCGGCAGAGATGAGTAGGGAGATTGCCAATGAGCCTGTTTTTGGTGAAGGCAATTTTTCTCTGGTTTCGGCGCGCCACCTTAGCGGAGGGCCCTCGAAGCAGTTCCACGTTTTTGATTGGTCGTGTATATACAGTAATACTACGCGTGATAATCTGGAGCTGTGTTTTGGCGCGTCGACGCGCCACCTGAACGAGACTCTCGAACTAGTTCCACGTTTTTGATTGGTCGAATGAATTCGTGTGTTCCTCGAGATCCGCGATTTTAAACCGGGTGAACACTCAAATAGGGAGACTTGTATCCACCTTTTTTTTTACAGGATATTACATAAACCGTAGTAATAAGGTAGTCAATACCCTTAATATCCATATGAAGCTCTGAAAATAATAGAGTAAGCAAATAAAACTTAAAAAAAACTCTCGAACGTGGGCAACTACAGAAATATAAGTTTACTGAAAAATATACCACAATGACTCGATAGCAGACGTGCTTGGTGCTGGATTAACGTCCGAGAGTCTCGGGTTCGAAACTCACGTCTCAACCGTTTTATTTTTTTTCTTAATTATCAACTATGCTTATTGGTTCACCTAGTTAACTTAAGATTCATTAAATATATGATTATATTAGTCTACAAATATTGTATTATATTACATCGTATACATCCAATAAATTGGTACATGAATCAACGAACGTTTCTTCCTCCCGAGAGCCTGCCTGTGAAAAACACTTATGGTACGCTGTTTCCTTTTTTAATAGTATAAATAATATTCAGACGGGTAAAGAAGGCATTACGATAAAATACTAAAAACAAAATTGCAATTATAAATCTCGGGCATAAAATGATGAGCAATTATTTTCTATGGTGAAATGAAACAAATAATGTATCTGGTTAGGGATTTTTTGTCATTTAATTTTTATCATTCATGGCTACGGAAAGACAACATTTTTAATACATCGAATTATCAGACAATTATGTCGAGGTAGAACCTACTGATAGTTCGAAATATTAAAAATAAAATTATCTTTCCGTAGGCATGAATAAAAAAATTGACTAAATTGAATCAGGCTACTCAAAAATGTATAAAACTAAAAATTTCTAAGCAGATATACTATTTGTCTCATCTCACCATACATATGTATAAAATAATTGTGTGGGTTTTTTACGCTTTTCATTTTTTTTACCCGATATTAGTAAGTGCCATTTTTTGGGACATTTTTTACTACTTTTCTATTCGGCTGAATAATATTTAAACTATC